ATCGGTCAGCCGCTCCGCCTCAATGCAGCTGGTGGTATTTTCCAGTTTTCTCTCATCTCCCCAGCCCGAGCCGTGCGTCTTCTCTAAGTGTAGAACTATCAGGTTGCTCTCTGGCCTCCAGCTCTCCGTCAGAGCGAGTGGCGTTTGAAGTGCCATCCTCTGCCTGCCCTCCGTCAGCCAAATACACCCCTGGCTGTAACACAACCTGGGTAAACTTACACCGACTGCCATCGGCACCTCCAGCCCACCTCTTTGGAGCTTTTGTGCACGGAGGCCTCATGCCCAGGGACACGAAGAGATGGGGGAGACGGGGGAGTCCCACAGAGCCAGAAAAGTGCAGACAGACGTCCAAACAAGCAGTCACACACTCGCAGAGCAAGAGCAGCTTTTAAACCATCTTTTTTTGTGCACGGCATGTCTCGGGGTCATTCCTAAAGCCGAGCATTTCTCTGACAACCGCTTGTCTCTTCTCATCCAATACATCTGAAAAACGATGGACGGATGCTTACAAGACATCTTTCTTTTTCTTCCTCTTGGCTAAACAAGACAGCATGAGCAAATGAGAAAACCTGCTGGTTACATTTTTCTGTCTAGTTGCTGTTTCCCCAACCCCCCCCCCCCCCACAACATACATAACCCTCTCCTCAGTCACGCTCTTTAATGGCCATAAAAAAGAAACCTGGCAGTGAAAAAGAGAAAAAAAACATCTTTACAAAGCTTTCAGACAGAAGCAGGGAGATGACTGCCCCCCCCTCCACTAACATGTGTTTTACCTGCATGGCAGGAAATTTAATCCAGGACTGGGCTTTTTAAGAGCGAGCCGTGCACCAAACTGCCTGAATGCTCCGACTCTGCTCTGACAGAGTAGGTTGTATCATACTTTTTTGTACAACTGAAATCATTCTGCACAGCTCAAGGCTTAAAAAAGTGCAACAAACATCAAACAGAAAAGCAAACTTTTTTTTTTCTCTCTTGGTGTAACCAGCTCGTAATTAAATTCTTAAGAAACAGCTTCATAACGGGACGCATCAGAGGGAAAAGAGCTGTTCCCAAACGAATATATCACTGGGTTCTCCAGATGTTTTTGGTATCGTTCGTGCGAGGCCTCTCAGTGTGTTTGACAAGACAAAGAGTGAAATGTGACTCCAAACAGCTATTTTTCCTCACTGACGAAACATAAGCTTTAAGGCATCTGCCTGAAGGCAGGAGGCCAGAGGTTATTTGCAACCTATTAACTGCACTGTATCCACACGGACGGCATTGATGCTGCTCCGTCTCAGTGCCCAGAATAATGGGCTTCTCCTCTTCTGCTCTGTGGATGCAAATCAAGCCTGCCTTTAGGACACAGACGGTCTATTATAATGCCACTGTGGGGAATAAAGGCTGGGCCAAGTGGCTGTTTAGTGGCTTTTCCCTGAAGAAAAATGCGCTTGTTTTGTTGTGTTTACCTATAAATTAAAAAGCAACAGACACAGATTGCTGAGCCGGCTCACCATAAACAGGCCGACAGCGGGTCCTTCGTCTTATGCCAGAAATAAAACGCATATTAAAACCCAAATGAAAAGGAAAAGAGATGGAATTGAAGAGACCTGAAATAACCACAAAGAGACCAGATGTCCCACATGTGACAGCTTAAAAAAAAGTCACACAGTTGACAAATTAAGACACAGAAATAAGGAGTGTGACACACAAAATGTGACACAAAGAGAGCCAGGATAGAGCGGTGGAAAACCAGACGCAATAGATGCTAAAGGACTTAGTGTTTACACTGCACAATATGAGGGCCAAGAAGAGCCTGAAGATAAACTACATGAGAAGTGAGACACAAATGTCCCCAAAGTGCAGCACAAAACAACAGCATGACAAAAATGAGACGAGATGGAAGAAAAAAAGAAGCAAAAAGCCAGTAAACAAAACGACTGTAAAGAGATGCAACAGAGCATCAACACAAAAACAGAAACACAACCTGAAGACTCACAGACGCAAACCACACGGCAGTTTGTGTCGGTGGTCCTGGGCAGGATGAGAAGGGCAAAGAAC